TGTCTGGTTGTTTCATCCACCACGTTGTGCCACCACGAATAGGTTAGTTTTAGAATTAAGGATTTATGGTGAAGATTAGGCTGTTGTATACAATCTACAGAAACAGAATTAGGTATTGGATGTGTTCAACACTATCATATTGATATCAGAAGGGGTTTTGTGGATATTATAGTAATTTCAATAATTAAGATCATCAGTCAATTGAAGTCAGACCACCATTGAAAGCCTGGAATCACTGGACGGCCGTCTTGTCCTATTGTGGGACTCCTCAACAGTGCGCATCCACGATCCCTCCTCGCCAGATTCGAAACCCGAACCTATCAGTCTTGCGCGAGAGTGCTTAACCTCTAGACCACTGAGCCGGCATCCAAATATTTAAATTACTATAATATCCACAAGACCCCTTCTTATATTAATAAACATATTGTTATATACTAGGAAAGAAGTATGGATAACTTACGGTACCTATTATTAGACTATTATTCTATTTATATTCCTATTGTATAACTATCCAGTAGCTAGATTATGTATATCTATATTCATCTTATTACAAGCTTCATTTTGATCGATGAATTATTATTATATGATTTATTGTCCCTAAATTATACTCGGTTTATTGAATACTGTCTCCTACGCTTACAGACACATTTGGCTTGATCTTGTACAAATATTATTTTCTATTTTATGGTGTGAAGCTGTCTGTCTGTCTGGTATATAAACCGAGTATGCTTGAAATAAACGATTCGCATAACAGAAGCTGCTATTGGTGTTTTGGACCCAAGTGGACGGGCTAGGCGGATTAAGGATCAATAAGGACGCTAGATTACTCATACTACTCGAACGTCATTGTCACAGTGTTAAGGTCGTAGAAGTCGTATTCTATTGGTGGATAATTTACGCGAATTACGTCCTTGTTAATTTGTAAAGTCATAATGAATTAGCGACGGCTAGGTCGTCATAACACATATGCTCACTAGTGACTGGCTTCAAGAGGTATTCCAACGGTGTTAATGTTTAACTTCAACCGATCCACGAAACTGAACAACACATCCACCATTGTCTTCAGTGAGTTGCTATCTCACAACAGACCTGATTGAACTCCACTGGTCACGGCTTCTCACTAGAGCTCCAGAAAATACCTCTTGAAGCCAGTCACTAGTGAGCATATGTGGATTAATATCAGAAGGGGTCTTGTGGATATTATAGTAATTTCAATAGTTGGATGCCGGCTCAGTAAGTATCCACTATAACGCTAAGAATCGTTGATCCACAGTTTCAGTCGATTCGTGATATTATGTTACATTCATCCACTGCTATTCACTGATCACGACTTCCGGTGAGAATGTTTTTCAGAAGTCACCAGTAAATGCACGACAATTTTATGCTCAAGAAGCTTATGAAAAACTGTTTTATTTGCAATTTTTTACTTCAGTGGCTGACTTTAACCCTTTTATTTTTATCAGTTGTCTAACTAAAATCAGTATATGATACAAACCATTTTGACAATGAACAATCTCCACAAACTTTCTGTGTTAATAACATAGAGTTACTAGGGATTACGTACATGTGAATATGAACTGAGCACTAACAGGTAATTATGTTTGTGCAATAAAACTATCGAAGTAAACTGAAGGAATATAACCCTGGACGATATGAGTAACCAAGACTTACTTTGTTCGTTCAGAATGTCTAAACTATCTGCCTTCAGTACACAACAAAGGTTTTTTTGTTTGCAATCAAAATTACCTTTAAAATAGCCAAGTATTTCATTTACCACATAAATATATAGAAAGAAGTTACTTTATAATGGATAAACAGTACAATTCTGTAATTACTTAAATAAAAACCATGCATAATTTCAATAGTATTATCAAATGATTTGAAAATTTTACTGTTTATTCTAAAATTGATTAGAACGTGAATAGTAAAACTTGGTTCACATGGATACAAGGAACATCCGGTATTTAGATCATTTCAATAAAAATGATTTAATACTTTTTAATATGAATATTTGATACAACAACATAGTAATATACCTAATATGGCTTACCTATCGTTAAATCACTTCATATAAACTATGGTTAGAATTATGTTTACATAAATCCATAATAAATAATACTATAAAATGAAGTAAACATGCTGCAACCGTCGCTTTCATAATTACATTACACTATTAACAGAATGTGAAAATTAATTTCAATGTAAATTAATCAATACTTCAACAATTTTCAGTATAAGGGGATCGATGGAAATTATGAAACTTTCATATTGTGAATCACAAACTCCCCCTATACTGGTAATAACCAAGTGGTCATTACTGATTAGCTTGAAGATGTAACTGTAGGATTTATTTTGTCCTACAGATATACTATTAAACCGTAAACATGATACTGGCGATCTCAGAGTTTATGTGAAAGCTTATAGTCAGAACAAGGACAACTTGGCTTTAAACTTTATATGTTTCTAAACATAAAAACAATTAAATTAGTACAATAATTAAAGAATTACAGTCATTAAGTGAAACGCACAAACATACCGACCAGTATTGCGTGTCTTATTAAAATGAATAAAATTTCTGAGTCACACTAATGTTACTTACTTACTTACTTACGCCTGTTACTCCGCCTGTAGCTTCTCTGGGGGTTACTGCAGGTCCCAAGCCCGGGTAAAGGAGGAGGGTTGGGCATGGGGTTAGCGACCCCATTCCGTAGAAAATCAACTCGCTAAAAAAACGCTAACCAGAAAAAATCATTCAAACCTTTCAAACTCTGCCCTGGGAGTAGAAGGAATAATTATGACGTCTCATGATGAAAGCCGAGTTCATTCGGAAGTCATGAGGCCGATGCACCTTCTTACAACCAAAGCGAAAATTTTTATAGGTACATGGAATGTCCGAACAATGTGGGAGACCGGAAGAGTTTTCCAAATTGCTGCAGAAATGAGAAAATGCAACCTGGAGGTTCTTGGAATCAGCGAAACACATTGGACGCAGGTTGGACAACAACGACTGTCTTCAGGAGAACTTCTGTTATACTCCGGTCATGAAGAAGAAAAGGCCCCACATACACAAGGAGTTGCATTGATGCTGTCACACTAATGTAATAGGATAATAATGTCTTTCAATTGGTAGGTCACATGCAACAGGGATAGTTTACAGACACATCAGACCAGATTGACGTGGTGGGAGCCTAAGCAACGATTTGATTGGTTAGTTATGGACATAACTAACAGTAACTCCTGTAGTTCTAATGGAAAGCCAAGACTAGTAGGGCAAAACCATGTCAGATATGTATTACGCAATTGATGACGGTTATACAATACCTTGGATTGATATTACTACCGTTGAGTGCTTCTTCAGTAGTCTAGGGTTTAAGTGTTCGAAGGCCATAAGTTCAGCTCCCGGATTTGCAGTTGTGGATGCGATCCGTTTTGAAGTCCCATAAGAGAAGAGAACGGCTGTCTATTTCTTTCAAGTTTCCAGTGGTAGCCTAACTAATGTCAGTTGGTGGACTAAAATTATGAGAACCAATCATTATTACTAGTGGAATTCTTCATGATTACAAATATGGCATATCAATAAATACCAACTGGTGTGAAATCTAGATTCTGGATTCAAACAAGTAGACTTTAACCATTTAATATTAGTGAGAGTTCTATATAAAAACAAATTGCTTACACTGGTGATTCTATGAATTAAACAAAATTATGTTAGCTGCGACTGTGTGGTCTATTAGTGTAAACATGCACAACACAAATATTTACCATCTAAAATTAAATACTCAAATTTATCGAAACAGAAATCTTGTGAGTGATTGTTTAAATGAACAGTTCACAGTAAAGGAGTTTAGTCAAAATCTTAGTAAAACGCGACTTTTTAAAAGTACTTTTGTGTAATTGCTGTATATCTCAGAGATAAACTAAAACTGTAGATGATCAACACTCTGTACAGTGAATACATACGACGATGAATGGTTCAGCTTTTAGTGAGATAATGATTAAAAGGGTAGTAATGATTGGAAAAACTTATAGAAGACCATAATATATGAAGGGTAACCAGCTAACAATAGAGTTTCAAAGTACTCAATGTTTTGGAAATGTTTATTGTTTAATGATCACTCAACACATAGTGTTTTGAGCAACAAATCTCAGTTAGTTTATCAGGGTTTTGGATGCACATGAACTGAGGTACTATGAGTTGAAAAAATACAGCTAAGGAAAGATCAACCGAAGAGGAGGTGAATTTCCCGACATCCAGTTACAAAGTAAGTAATAAACTAAGACTTCTTAGATGAAGTCTAAGGCAAATTATACGTTAAAACCTAGGGGCTTTAGATGGTACTGCGTTCACATTTTTATATGAGTCTAAGTCAGTGATATAAAATAGTTGTGTATTCATCCATATGCGAACACAAAATTATATAATAAAAGAGTTCCAAAGGGAAAGTGTATTATTAGAATTTATCTTTAATTGGCTCAAATTTCCTTGCTTTTCAATGTGACACTATTTTAATACTTCTGAATGTATCCATCTGTTCTTGTTACAGTTGGTTCTTATATGACTTACACAACATGATCGTTCTGTATAGTCTAAGATCTCTGACAATCAGAAATCAAGGACTTTATCAGGCTTGGAGACATATCATCAGTAAACCATATGTAAGTTGTAAAATAATTTAATCAGGTTAGGACAATATTATTAATCCAAATTTTCAGTCATAAAAGTAATCTGTCACTAGTCTGTAAACATAATAATTCAGTGTCTTCATTTGAAACATTCTGGCGGACATTAAGTTACACATTACACTCTAATTCGTTATCAAATTTATAACGCATTACTAATCACTTTCCCAATGGTAATAGTAGTTGTTGAGTGTAATCTAAAACCGAATTCGATCACTTAATTCAATAGATTTATTATCAATCTTGTAATATATACAGTTTAACTTAAGCTTTCTTTCTATCTGCATATTATGCAACTTTTTAATAATAATTAGAATTACTTTTTCTGTATTCATTGAACGCTGTCAAGTGTTTATCATCAATTTTCCTCACACTTTCCTGTTCTTGATCATTGTTGACAATACCATCTGATTCTATTAAAGGATGTGTTTGTTCTTCAATATGATTCACATTTTCAATTGAGCTTCTTTCAGAGATATGATTTGTTCCAGTAATATACTTGTTTAAATTTTGTACATGATACCATTGAATGTATAAAAACATATCTATACTTGTGGCGATTACCACAAGAATAGTTAATGCTGAGCATATTGATCTGCAAAACAAGAAAAATCGGTTTTTTAGATAAGTAGAATGTATTGTTTAATTTGCTGTACTCAAATTAAATTACATAGTGAATATCAGTTTGTATATAACTCATATCTAAGTAACTCCATTTCGAGATTCAATATTCTTTATTTTCAAAGGGTTTAGCATAAGTTTCAACTGCATTTTAAAGTCCTCATATGAACATTTCACCTCTGTTTCTTGAAAATTATTTTTCTCATTAAGTTAACTGAGACAACTGATATCAATTCTTAAACTATTCCATGGTAAAAATTCTCACTTATTAAAACGTCGAAAAATTATGGACAAATATAGCGACAATAATCCGGTCAAATGGTGAAACAGTCAAAATAAATATACAGATAATGATAAGGTAAAAGTCAACAATAAGTAGTTGAACTCCAGAGTAACAGAATGAGCTATCAGTCAAATGAAGAGAAGTTCGAATAACATACTTCTATCTGAAATTGTTACTGATGATGATGTTCATAAGAACAATCAAAGCTTCATGATTAAACCACACAGCTTAGTGAATGAAATTCCATCAAAATTAAATGAAACTGTTCACTGTCTCACCGAAGAATGTAATTTTCACTGACAACAACGAAATGGAATCCTGAGGGCTAAAGGAGAAGAGGAAGACCAAAGAACATATTAATCCGAGAAATGGAAACAGACATGAGAAGAATGAACAAAAATTGGATAGAACTAGAAAGGAAGTCCAAGGACAGAGTGAGTTGGAGAATGTTGGTCGGGGGCCTATGCTCCATTTGGAGTAACAGGCATACGTAATTAAGTAAGTAAGTGTATATAGCTCACTTCTACATGATATTATTTGTGACTGAGTGTAGTAAAATATTGAAAGTTTTGAATATTGAACAACATTAATTCAAAGGGTACAACTTTAGTCATTAGCTAAAGTATATAAATTTGCTAAGTAATGTCAATAAATAAAAAACTCGCATAAAACCACAATCAACAAATCACTTTTACTTTCAAGGTCAGTGAGTGTATACTAATTTAATAAAATACACATTTTATTGATCACAACATGTTTTTAAAAATGATAAACATTTTTTCACTTCTAAATGAAAATTTTGTTTTATAGTCGTTCTCTATGATGGATCTAATTGATTTTTCTTACATGCAAAATTGAACAATTTAAAATAATCTTTATAAAATTGAAATCAGATGAGCTTAGAATTTTGTATTTTAGTTGATTGTGAAGTGAGAAATAGATATTTCACAAAATTACTTCACCAAGTTGAAAGTAATGGTAAACACTTTTTTTCTATCAGAAGGGGTATCTTGTGGATATTATAGTAATTTTAATAGTTGAGATCATGAGTCTTGAGTTCAAATCTCACGAGGTGGGATCGTGGATGCGCACTGTTGAAAGTTTCTTAACAGAACGAGACGGCTGTCCAGTGCTTCCAGGTTTTTCATGGTGGTCTAGCTTCAATTGATTCATGATTTCAACGATTAAAATTATTTTGTTCTAATGAACTTAATTCGGTTTAAACCACTATCTTAAAAGGTGAGTTTAAAACGTGAAGTTATACTAAGTGCATGTTAATTTTAAATATCTGGATACAATATAAATGGTTAAAACTTTCAATTTTATAGAAATCATAGTGAAGCATATATGACTGGTTAAATTGCTAAGTTTAACTGTTAAAAATGTCATTATTATATTGGATTGTAATGTAGAATACAATGATATGTGTATATATTCGTGGGAATAACTATTAGATAAAATTATAATATTTGGCATCTTCGAGCATTTATCAGTCCAGCTATTGGGTGTGTGCAACAAAGAAAGTATGATTTTTACTAAGAATTTCATTTCAGTCATCTAAAAGCTACATACTTATGTCTTGTGTGAACTTACTACTGTAGTAAATAATAAGTTTTTGGATGAAAATAGCAAATAAATTGAAAGTTAGGGTTTGAAATGAAATTCCCAGAGAAAAGTATGCTCATCTACGCAACAGCTTAAATGATTTGAATTATTTTTCTGGTTAGCGTTTTTTAGCGGGTTAGTTTTCTACGGGATGAGGTCGCTAACCCCATGCCCAACCCTCCTCCTTTACCCGGGCTTGCGACTGGCAGTAACTCTAGAAAAGTTATAGGCGGAGTTTCATCTATGCAACACTCATTCAGAAAGTGAACAGAAAATGTCTAGATATGTTTGATACCGTAGATGTATTGAACTTTTAAAAAAAGAACGGATACGCTATAAATTCATAGACACGTACCGTAATCTTAGTATATATTGGTAGGAAATTAAGAAACTATTCCAAACATGATAATATAATACTTTCTATTTTTATTGATAGTTAGTCGATTAATAGATGTGGTGAGATGAAAAGATGATATTAATTCAGCTTACTATTTCAGTATGAATTTTTATAAAGTAAGAATAACGAGCATTATGTAATAAAGTGAATTGATTTCATTTCATATTCAGAGCACAAGAAATGTTATATCCTTGTAAAAACATAAGTATGGGTAATTTCCGAGACCTATTAATGGACGATTATTCTATATGTATTCTTATTGTTTAACTATTGAGTAACTAGATTGTGTATATCTATATTCATCTTATCATAAGCTTCATTTTGATCTATGAATTATTATTATACGATTTACTATCCCTAAATTATATTCAGTTTGTTGATTATTGTCTCCCACGTTCACAGCCAGATTTGGCTTGATCTTGTACAAATATTATTTTCTATTTTATGGTGTGAAGCTGTCTGTCTGTCTGGTATATAAACCGAGTATGCTTGAAATAAATGATTCGCATAACAGAAGCTGCAATTGGTGTTCTGGACTCAATTGGAAGGGCTAGGCAGACAAAGGACCAATAAGGACGCTAGACTACTCAAAGCAGTTGAACGTCATTGATTTGCCACAGTGTTAAGATTGGAAAAGTCGTATTTCCACTGGTGGATAATTCACGTGATAAAAGCCGGACTTAGAAAATCAATAACGAATTAGCATAAGAAATTGGCGACGGCCTTTTATGAAGTCACAACAAGAGATGAAATAAATTCACTTAATTCTATGTTCATTATTCTTATTTTACAACCATTCATTTATACCAAGGAATCAATTGAATGAACTTCATATCAGTATGAATTTTTATGAAGCATGAGAAGTTTGAACTCTGGTCTCATATGATAATTATATTCGTTGTATTAATTGAGTTTGAATTTCTGATATGCTAATGGCAATAACTTTGTCTATTTTTTTACATATATATTATTTCCGAAGGGGTTTTGTGGAGATTTCAGTATTTTTTAAAGTTGAAATCATGAGTCGACTGAAGCTTTGAAACTTTGAAAAATACTGAAATCATCACAAAACCCCTTCTGTTTATAATCATATGCTCACTAGTGACTGACTTCAAGATACATGTCCTGGAGTTCTAGTGGGAAGCAGTAACCAGTGGAGTTCAACCAGGTCTGTTGGGAGATATCAACTCACTGATGACATTGGTGAATGGTTGCTCAATTTCGTCGATCGGTTGAAGTTAGACATTAATACCGTTGGATGCCGGCTCAATGGTATATCGGTTGAGGGCTCTGGCTCGAGACTGTTAGGTCCTGGGTTCGAATCTCGCGAGTGAGAGATCGTGGATGCGCACTGTTGAGGAGTCCCGTAATTGGGCGAAACGGCCGTCCAGTTCTTCCAGGTTTTCCATGGTGGTCTAGCTCCAGTTGACTCATGATTTCAACTTTGAAAAATATATAATATTTATTAATAAATCACCAAGTTTGTATAAAATCAGCACATAAATGAGTGTATTGAAGTTTAGTGACGACTTGTCTTGATAACTTATTTCGGGAAAATTTTTGAAGAGTCAATATGATTTTCATTTGCTCCTCACTTTGCATTGTGAGGATGACAGTGATTCTTAACTGTCAAGTATAAACAGTATTACAGTGGATACGATAAGAGCTACAGGAAACAGTATTATAACTCTTATAAAATTGCTTTTCTTTCCTTCTGTATTCAGTATATACTTGTAGTTTTAACTGACTGTCATACAGAAACCTATTTCAAATAAGTACACAGTCATTTCTTTCAAATGAAGTACCCAAAATTCAGTAAAAGGTTCCTTAAATAAAATCAGTAGTAATTATAGTTATTACTTCATATGACACCAATGTTTAATTAATTATAAAATCGTGACAAAAATGTCTGATGTTTGACAGTTTTAATTTTTTTAATTCAATTACATGTATTACTTACACAGCTATGTAATACCATGTGTCTTTTTGAACATCACCAACAAATCGATGACAAAAACTTTCTTTTTGATTCAACCTAAGTAAGAGATAATACGCAGCTAATATCATAAAAAAATAACACGGTATAATCTTACTTGTATTAATAATACTTCTAACCTCTTCACTAGTACAAGTATTAGGCATACATAATCCAACTGACATTCTTAATTCCTATAAAATGAATCAAATCAAATTCGACATAAAATATTAATTTTACCGGAATTATTGCTATAGAAGTGTTCATATCAAATACCATAGTACAATACGATCCATGAAATTTCGGTTCTTCTTTTTCTCCAACTGAATGATATCCTGAACATTTAAGACATACATCATAACTTCCCACCCAATGCATAGCACCACCTACAATTCCTGGTGGAGGATGTGTTGTAGCATCTAACCCTATACAATAAAAGATGTTAATACAAAAGTTATGCGAATCAAACATTGTAACGCCCAACTTTGCTTTTGATATATACCCAATATAATATTAAGAATATCATTTGTACAAGATGTTTTGATTTCAGGTAATTTTAAATTTGTATACACATTATTGACAAATAAATTATTCATTGAATTAAACGATTCAGCATAGTTATCATCATATAATTCATGAAAATATCCATTTTTCATCGAAGATTTTAAAGGTTTTTTTGCATTACAATAAAGTAAACACCATAGAAACCATAGTAAGCATAGATTTTGTTTAAATCGTAACATTCGTAATGATATAATCACATATTAAAACAAAATATTGTACAACTGTTATGATTACACTTCTTCATTGAAACGATTTACACAAGTTTGCCTATAAATAAGCTAACCAATCAAATTGTTCTCTGACAAGGTTAAAATATTAAACACCTACGCAATTTCTAATTATGACTAATTTTTTACATGGTAACAAAATACACCAACTTATTCGATTTAGTGTGTTTAAGCAGATTTTTTAGTAAATTAGTAATCGATCATTTTGGTTAAATTTGTCTACGTAAATTAATTTATTGTTCATCTGATTATATTCATCAATGATAATAGAGGTGTCATTAATAAATAATATGATTACTAAGATATATAAACACTGAAATTTGTTTTATATAGTTTATATAAAAATACACGTTCAAGAGGCACAGATCCAGGGTAAACATGTAGTCAGTATATGTGTTAGAAAGATTTGTGTCCAATTATGTAGAAACATTGTACATGAAATACTGAAGAGGAAATCATTTATTTGAAGACACAAGTGATAGAGCATATTTTTACTATCTTGACTATTACAAGTCTCTTTTTTTCATATTAAAGTTTACATTATTCAAAACTAAGCACAAAGACGTTACTGCTGAGCTATCTACTATGAAGTTACACGTACATTCAAAACCGATAATCCCATCTATTGAATAGTTTCTGTTTATATCCAGTAAAATATAGTTATTGAGTCTCATACCAAGCCTCTGCTATCATTTACAATGTCAAGGTAAAAAGTCTAAGAAACTAACGCTTAAATTCGCTTTGTATTGCAGAAGTTACGGCTATTGGATAAAACAGCTGGACGCCAGTTTTATAGTCATCATAGATATGGTACATAATATTTTAACAGAATGAATATTGTCTCGGCAGTATTGTTAGAAAGGTGATGGTAATAAATCAATTGTATTCTCAACAGAAAACCCCTGAAAATATAACAGTCAGGTATATAATGATTTTATGGTGTAAAAGGGAACATTAAGTAGATCGTCATCATACAGGATTGAATAGTGTTGAGAACAACAGTGACCTTGTCAAATGCATATGTCTGGTTTGTGATACGAGATGAAGATATAAAGTCTACACTTAGTAACTTACTTACGCCTGTTACCCCTCGTGGAGGAGCGTAGGCCGCACATCAGCATTCTCCATTCAACCCTGTCCTGGGCAATTTTTTCCAGTTCTTTCTAGTTAACATTCATCCTTTTCATATCTGATTCTATTTCCCGGTGTAATGTGTTATTTGGCCTTCCTCTTTTCCGCTTCTCTTCACCATTCCAAGTTGGGGCTTGCCTCGTGATGCAGTTTGTTGATTTCCTTAATGTATGTCTGATCCACTTCCAACGTCTTTCCCTAATTTCCTTTTCAGCTGGAAGTTGGTTTGTCCTCTCCCATAAAACGCTGTTGCTGATGGTATTCGGCCAGTGAATGTTGAGTATTTTGCGTAGACAACTGTTTATAAATGCTTGTACATTCTTGACGATGGTTGTAGTAGTTCTCCACGTTTCAGCTTCGTACAGTAGAACTGACTATCTTGACGTTTGTATTGAAGATTCTCACTTTGAAGTTAGTTGACAGTTGTTTTGAGTTCCATATGTTCTTCAACTGTAGAAATGATGCCCTTGGTTGCCAATCTTTGCCTTTACATCTGCATTCGATTCTCCTAGTTTATCAATGATGTTTCCCAGACACGTGAATATTTCCGTCTCTCCCAGAGTATCCCAGTCAAGTGTGATTGGGTTTGTGTTCTCCGTGTTGTATTTGAGAATCTTGCTTTTCCTTTGCGTATGTTGTGGCCTATTGATTCAGAGACTGTTGCTACATTAGTTGTCTTCGTCTGTATTTGTTAATGTGTATGGGGTAGGGGAGGGCTAGGTCATCTGCGAAGTCCAAATCGTCCAATTGGTTCTGAGATGTTTATTGTATTCCTTGCTTCCCCTCAGATATCGAGGTTTTCATAATGCAGTCAACCACCAGATGAAAGAGGAACGAGGAGAGTAGATAGCCTTGTCTGACTCTGGTCCTTACTGGAAATGCATCTGTCAGCTGTCCTTCATGCACGACTTTGCACTGTAGCCTGTTGTATGAGTTTTGGATAATGTTGACAATCTTCTCAGGAACTCCATAGTGTCGAAGAAGTTTCCATAATGTTCTCCGGTCCACACTATCAAACGCCTTCTCATAGTCAACAAAGTTGATGTATAGCGACGAACTTTACTCAACTGAATGTTCTACGATGATCCGTAGTGTCGCAGTTTGGCCTGTGCACAACCGCTCCTTACGGAATCCAGCCTGTTGACCTCAAAGTCAAGCGTCTACTGCGTCTTTCATCCGGTTCAGAAACACTCTGCTGGAAACTTTCCTGGGACTGACAACAAACTGATGACTCAGTAATTCTCACATTTGCTCAGATCTCCCTTCTTCGGTATCTTGATGAGGTGTTCTTTTTTCCAGTCCGTCGGTACTTGTTCCTCCTCACAAACCTTCCTGAATAGAACGTGGAGCATGTTTGCAGTTGCTTTAATGTCTGACTTTAGTGCCTCAGCTGGTATATTGTCAGATCCTGCTGTTTTCCAACTCTTGATTTGTCTGATGTCCATCTTGATTTCTTCTGTCGTTGACGAAGTGACATCTATAGGAAGGTCTGTGTGTGCTGCTTCGATTTCCGGTGGATTCAATGGAGCTGGTCTATTCAGCAGTTCTTCGAAGTATTCTGACCTTCTTTTCCTCTTTTCTTCAATCTTCGTGATTGTCTTCCCTTCTTTGTCCCTGATTAGTCTGTCCGGTTTACTATATCTCCCTGCTAGTTTCGTCGTTGTATCATATAGTTGTTTCATATTCTCTTTTATTGCAGCTATTTCCGCCGTCGTTGCTAGTTCTCCCATGTATTTCTGCTTGTCAGCTTTAGTGCTCTTTTTCACTTGCCTGTACTATGCTTGCGCCTTGACTTTCTCTGCTCGCGTTAGACTGTTGTTAATTGTTGTCTTCTTGTTCTTCCTTTCTTGAATCTAGTCCAGGGTTCCCATAGAGATGTATTCCTTATGATGATGCTTCTTGCTACCCAGAACCTCCTGACACGTCGAAGTTAATGCTTCTTTTATTACTTTCCAGTTGTCCTCCATCGTACTTTCTTGTCCTTTCCTGTAGGGCTTGAAAATTGTTGTTGAGTGTTATCTTGAATTCGTTGAGTTTGTTAGTATCTCGAAGAAAGGCTGTATTGAACCTTTGTAATACTGTTCCCTCAGTTGTCCATTGTTTCTTTAGCCTCAGTTTCATTTTGGTCACAACCAGATGGTGATCTGAAGCTACGTCGGCTCCTCTCCTTGTACCCACATTTTCCATTGTCCTTCGGAGTTTCTGTTGATACAGATATGATCTATCTGGTTCTCTGTGGTGTGGTCTGGTGAGATTGTGGGGAGTAGTGTAACGTCGTGTACTATATTACACCTACATAGCTTATTCTAGTTTCTGGACAAGCCAATTCACCCATAACATTATGAGTCATATTTTGATCATATTAATTATTCGCTTATTGACCTTAACTATTTTTTTATATGAGCGTATGTGTATGCACACTTTTTATCCTACCTATCACATGTCTGTCATTCATTTTAGCCTGACTATAAATGTTGATTAATGCTTGCTTATAACGAGTTGGCTTCCCAGCCATCTCCACTCTGCGTCATCTTTCCTTCGCTTGCTTACATTTGCTAATGTGCTCACTGCCTTCTAGCCCATGTTAGTTATCAATAAAAATGTAGTTGCTGCTTCCCTTTGTCTTCTGATATTATACACCGTTCAGATTGTTATAATAACGGTTATCAAGACGATCGATTAACGAAGCACTACACTACATATTGGTAATCCCGACGTATTAACACTCAACACTATTGGCGATCCCGAATTACGAACGCGAAGCAAAGTTGGCAACCTCAACGTACGGCTACATATTGGTTAGCCCTACATGCGAACACGTAAGAAAATTGGATGCCTCGCCGAACGAACAGTCAACATATTGGTTAGCTGTATTTGGAACACGCAACAGAATTGGCGACTGCAACGAGCGAACACAAACCAAAGATGGAACCGTCGACGACATATTCTGTTATGATTCAAATAATCATCATATGCTCGTTATTACAATAATGTCATATAATCATCTAACGTGGAATTATTATTTTTGTTCGTATTGACATTAAACTATGACATTTACGCAGTCATATCACTAATCGAACAAATTATAATGATATGGACATTACACGTTATGATATTCGAAACTCACTGGATTATTTTTATTTTCCAATGACGTACAATTTTCCTGATTCAAGTGAGTTCGTTCCAATTTTTTTTTTCATGTCATTTTCGGTCTAAGATAACACTCTATCATAGACAAGTTTGGAGTCATACTCCCGATAGTAGGAACTTATGTTCTCGATAGACAACTAATGTTCATTCACTTCACTGGTACGCAGCAACCGTCGTTTCCTACATTTTCAGCGACAATCTAAACCGAACTTCCGCAATTTTTGTTTCACGATGATCCCTACTTTAATGTTTATACACAAATCGAGTATTCGACGCCGCATTACCAGCCGATTAGTAATGATTATTTTCATATTATCTATTTATTCACGTTTATATCTGAATGCTGCATCATTCATTACCGATAATCGCTATTCGATCGCTGCAATTAATATCCTATTTCCATTGCACTATACACCAGAACATAGAGTTCAGAGCTAGTCTCTCAAAGATACACTCTTGTTCGTCACATTCAAGTCAGTCTCACTCGCCGCCATCGACAATCATATGTATTGGTATTTTTATCATGCCTTAAAACGGTTTCGTAACAAATGAGGTTGAGCGCATATCCCTCTAACTACACAAACCACGCTAGGCTTCTAGACCAAAAAGAAATACGACTCCGCATATCTCGTCTAAGCAGTCACTATCCTGTTCCTCTGGTCGTTCTACTA